CTAGTGAGAAGTTTCCGAGTGCCATGGGTCAAACGTGAAAAGTTCTATGGTGTATGAAGCTTCTGAAGCATAATAAGTATAATAAATAGAACATTCGTTATCCATTTATAACAGATTATTCCACGCCCAACCAAGACCGCGTACTAACGCGTACACGCGTCCGTATTTTCTAATGATTTCTAATGATTTCTAACGTTCGAGGAGCCACTCTATCGCACAGCTAATACGGCCTGTACGTGGCTCGCGATCATAATAATTAGAATAATCCGACGGCCGCTTGAAAATCATTCGCGACACGCTCTGGATACGCGTTTATCCCGTAGCGAGAAAAGAGCGGCGCGCAAGCTGGAAACATCGCGGGCTGTTTGCATTGGAATCGATCGACAGGAGAAAATTTCTCGGTTACGCGTTGCATTTTCAACGCGAATAATTAGTAGCACACGTAACCAGCTAGTATAAACTAAGAATTGACACTTAACCCTTTGCACTCGACAGGCGACTCCCAGATGATTTGATCCAGCAAAATAATAAATTTTGCTATTTACCATTAACCTTTATATACTGCATCAGTATGTGAAATATTAAAAGAAAATAGCTTTGTTACCTAATTTATGTATGATTTCTTGTTAAATTCATTTTAAAGAACCTTGTTTATTTCTAATTAGGAAGTATGGATTATTTCAAGTGAAAAGCTTTCGAGTGCAAAGGGTTAATCTCTGATATAATAACTCTGATACTCGATATTGACGTTGATAGCTATTATAGTATCAATTAAGAACTGTAACAATTAGTACTAAGTAGAAACTAAAACCTGATACTCGACACTAGTACTAGAAGAGAAAAAATCTCGTCTTCGATTTTTACCTTTACAATTTTTCAAATTACACTGAACGATTTCTGAGAAATCTTTCGATAAACCGGTTCACCGATATACTTTCCAAGGTATAAATCAATCGCAGTCGTAACGAACGCATTTCCTCGATTTATGTAAAGCTATGTATATCGAGCAATTTCATGTGGTTCTAGTATTAAGCAACTTTTCACAATTAAACACCGTACTCTGCACGGGCTCGTCCCGAAGCTTCTGCTTTCGCCTTTCACAAGCCATTTCTTCCTACCATGTTCTTATAACGGGTTGGAAAGTGATCATGCTACTCCGAAAATTCTGCGAATTACGACATCCGTCACACTCTACGTTCAAAGTTACACAACTTGGTTAACAAAAATCGTACATCGATTTTCAAGGAGTCCCCATAAAAGGGAGACTGTAATCTTCCAATTCACAATGAGTTCGATTTCAAGAGAAACTCTTTAATCTCCGCGGAGGCGCTACAAGCTTATTCGAAGAATTTTAGAAACGAAAAAGGAACGTCCACTTTCTCGCGCGTTACATAAAGCAGAAAAGATCGCAGGGAAAATGGCATATGGGAAGCGAAAGTAGAAGCTCCAGGCTTGAAAAGAAGCCCACGCCGAGCGCGGCACGACTTCTCGCTATAAAGTTAGAGATCGAAAGATCGACGGTCCCTCGATTATTCTACATTCGACGCGTATGAATAAATATCCGATTAAATGAATTTGAATATTCATCGAATTTCGTTCGCTCGCGTGGACCGAGAAGAAGAGGAAGAAGGAGGCGTCGGGCAGCCCGGCGGGCAGCAGCCGATACTTTCTTACTTTCTCGATACTCGCCGCGGCGATAAACGTTAAAAGAGAATGCTGTTTACAATGTCTTTTACGGTGGTTTTTTGCGGGCCGCCATGGAATCCGTGAAATCGAAAGTCTCGCGCGTAACTATCGGGAGAGGAAAACCGGAAGCGAGCGAGGATGTCGCGGCCGCTTCCGTTTCCAGCGTGGCAGCGCCGTGTTTTTCTGAGGACGCCGCCGAAAGATCGCCGGCGAGTCTTCTTCGCTTCGATCCGGACGAGAGTGAAAGGACCGAGGATCGTTTCTACACGGGCTCCTCTATCCGGTATCCTCGATTAACCACGATCGAAGTGGAACTTGAGAAATTGATTATCCTAGTTTCACTCGGGGCATCGATTTCTCGAAGGCCTACACGAAAAACACGAGACAGAAACTGAAATATTTCACGACTGACCGTCTGCCGCTTGACGGCTGATTTTTATTCGGATATAAATAGAAAGAATTATTATGGGAGTATTTGGTGTCGCGGTTCTTATGCTAGTGTTGTCTAGTTACAATGGATTATCTGTGTTATTGTTTCCTACTGTAAACTACTATGCGCTGTATGGTTAATTACTAGTATACTGCTATTGTACACTGTGCTTTCTATATTGCTCTTTAATACTGTACTAGTACTTTATACTGTGTTATGTGTTACTATTGCTGCTGTAAACTACTATACGCTGTACTGCTACTTACTAGTATACTGCTATTGTGTACTACACTTTCTATATTACTCTGTACTACTGTACACTGTGTTATTCGTGTTACTATTGATACTGTAAACTACTATGCGCTATATTACTCACTAGTACATTATTGTGCATACTGTATTGTCTACATCACTATTTACTATACAGCCACTATGCGCATTACTACACCACACAATGCATATTAAAATAGTTTCCAAATAATTGGTGAACGCCAGTCACCGCGTTAAACCGCGTTGCGTTCGGATCGTAACGAGTTACGAGCTGGAGAAATTGCCGATGAGTCGCAGGAACCCGAACGATAGCGTATGAAAGTAGAACCGAGATGTTCACCCACTAACAGAGTGACTTCTGACCCCTCTCGCAGCCTTCTCCCGCGAATTTCTGCCCGGCACCGTTAGATATCCCCGTCCCCGTCGCATCCTATATCGGTTTTCCGCATCTCGTTCGCAGCATCTCCTAGCAATTGCTAGATTTCTCTTTGGAACAGAAACAACGCTGCGTTTAGACTAGGACTGCAGTGTCTAGCTAGTCTATCCTACATATTCGATCGCTTTTTATCGCTTTCTATCGGTCTGGGTCAATAAACACCTTCCAATAATTTTAATACAGTGATCATTCACGATTACTAGTCAAATCTAATTGCTGCTCGCTTAGTTTTTCAGCCTAGTTGCGACCTACTTGATAAAACTACTTGAACACTACTAGGACAATCAGAGCTACTAGATACACTAGAACTACTAGAACTCCAGTTTTACAACTAGTTTCAATACTCAAGTGCATACTTTTGAAAAGAATTCTTAAAGAACCTGATTCGATAACAGCCAGACAGAAATACAAGTAAATCGAAATCCTAATGAGCACGGGTCATTAGGTTCTATAAAAGAATCCGAACATTAACATAGCTAGTCGCATTTTCCAGTTTCTCAGTTCTCCGCACGCAGATCGCACGCAAGAAAGTGAACCCCCTGTATTCGCGAGCCGACATTGAATTTCATCCTATCGCTAGTTAACAGAGCGAGCAAAGTTAATGGCGTGCCGCAGGTTTTTCACGGGTCTGCCGGCGAAACTCGTGGCCACCCCCGCCTGGGCGCGAATAAGAGACAGCCGGTCTATAAAAGGGCACGCGTGCGTGTGGCCTGATTGCGCGACAGGACAAGTGGCTGATCAATCGGCGCCGATTCAATTAACGCATCGTTGCAACTATCTTATCGCTAATGATCCATTAAAAGAAAATCTGTTGACGCTCATTAATTATCTACTTTACTCAAAGAAAATAAATGCTTCAAGTAAAGCACGTATTCTGAAAGTATCAAGAAACTCGAATTTCTATGAACTTCAAATCAAATTTGAAAACCTGTTTCCTTAATCGTTAAGTTAACGTTTAGATAGAATTCAGATGAAAGTTTTCATGCCACGATATTATAGGTCAAGGGGTTACGTTCACCATGAGAATTCTGAGCGTTTCATATAATAATTCTATATAGTATACCAAGACGGTGGATCATATTCTTCCCCAGCGAACGAAAAGCGTTTGGCAATAATTCCTTAATCACGAGTAACAATCTAATCGAGCACGCGCGTTACTTATTACTATCACGAGCAAAATCATGCAACCACTTAGCTACCGATAATTATATCCCAGGTAAAAAAACTTAAAAAATCTTCCTCTGAATGCTCTTCCAAGCAGTGCGATAGAACGTTACATAATGATTTGCAAAAACGGTGTCTTTATCTAAGCGTTGCTACATTAGGTTTCCTCTCACAATCCTTAGTTAATTGGCTGTTGCTTTCGATGATTTCCTTTCTCCGCGAATGAAAAAAGGAGCACCGATCGTTTCGATATCTGAGCCTCTACCGTAAACGTGTCCGATCGTGATTGATATTGGAAAGGTATGTTCCAGCGGAAACAGTGTGTCGGAAGTAACCAATTATCGGCGCGGTGGAAGCAAAGCGATCGAACGTTTCCTTGGATATTTTTCTCGCGTTCTCCATCGCATTCCCAATGCCAGTGGTACAGATTTTTCGGTGTCGGAACGATCCTTGGGTCCGTTGGGAAGAGCGGTCCCTTTCTCGGCCGATTCTGCGCCGAGACACTTTTGCATTTGAAATTCCTTCGCGTTTAATTCGAAAGTGTTTCTCCCATTCTCCCACGCATTGTGTCGGCTCGAAGGGAATACGTGTTGTGCGAACGTGGAAAAAGGACACTCGTTTTTCCCGTAACACCGTGCGCGTCTAACAGAACGCTCGCTTCTCTTTCTTTTGTCTTGACACCAGAACTACATTTGCATTCGCCGGATTTGCTCAGTGTCAATTAGCTTGTCCAAATGATTTACAATCAGTATCTATATCGTAACATCTCTTTACTGATCTCCTTAGCAAACCTTCGAAATTTCTAAATAATTCCGAGTTTTACTAATATATCTTCCAAATTTCTTAGCAATCTTTTCTGATTCCAAAAAAATCAGAAACAGGTCGCACTGACTCACTCATTCGGTAGTTCTAATATTAATTAATTTTACTACTATCATATAATACTAAAAACAATAGTATATAGACAAGTATCGAGTAGTCTAGTATAAATAAAAGGGTGCCACTGATACTGACCTGTTGAAAATGAGTTAAGTCTGGTGCCGTGGGGATGGCCGGGTCAGCGTCGCCGAGGACGGCCGTGATCCTGAGGACCGAGGTGATCCAGAGGAAGCTGAGGACGCTCCCTCGCCGCATCGTCGTCGTCTTCTTGCCGACAAGAGGCCGATGCTCGATCAACACACCCTTTGCTCCTCCGACGAACTTCACCTCAGGACCATCGAACTCTCACTCGACTCAAATCGACTCGTTCTCTCGCTTCCCAAACGGGGCGTCTTAAAAAGACAGGGAAAAAAGCGAACTGTTACACCGTTCCCTCTTCCGCGAGCTTCGAGAGGACGTTCCCTCTCCCTTCCTTTGTATCGAGTGAATTTAAAGGAAGCGGATTCGAGTATTATGCGCGCGTCACGGTAGAATCGCGGAGCCTCGTTCCTCTCAGCGAAACAAAAAATGCGAAGGAAAGTCGGCGGGTTAACGGCGAGGACGCGTCGGTGTCGGTTCGCTTAACGAGTTCGCGCGTTCACGAGGACGGGTTCGAAACTGTACGAGATCGGAAAACGTCTGAGAGTTTTACTCTTCCAGCAGGGGAAGAGTTCCGGCGTGAAGACCAGGTGGGAGACGAACAGTAGGTAGGACGGTGAACGTCGCCGAAGAATAAACCCACTTCTGTCCTCTCTTCTCTCTTGCCGCTTACGCCTGGCAAATCTTTCAGCCGGTCCTGTTGCTACGGTTTCGTGGCTCCTGCCAGTGTCCTGAGTCCTCCTGAAAACGCGTGCATTAGAATTCGAGAAAACGAATAGTTTTAAGAATACTCTAATATTAGATTTCCACCCCTCGCGTTCGACTGTTCATGGAGATTTCAAGCTGCATTCTTGTGAATTCGAAATTGAATTCAAAGTAAATGTCCTCTTGAATTTTGAATTAAAAATATTCCTCTATTGTCGACTATCATAATTTAGAGGAGACGTATCGCATGCCTAGAATAACGAATAAAACTCTTAGGTCGAGATTCCGATGATGCGTGACACAAGTAAAACGAATAAATAAATCGACGATATGGTAAACGGTCGCGTTTATACAAACGAACAATGACGTCGTCGCATGGAAATTCTCGCAACCGAAAGCGACATCCTCCAGTCTAATTGAATAATTAGAAGGATCGCGTGTAAACGCATCCTCGAGCCGCAACAATGCTTTATCGAGCATCCCCCTGGCCACGCAGCCGGTTTTTGTCCCAACGTAATTAACCGTACACGCGTGTACGCTTTCACCTGTTGTTTACAACTAATAACGGAAGTATCTGCGCAAGTTCTTACACGGTTACTTCCTCCAACAATCGTTTCTTCTTCTCTTCCCGCGCATCGAGGCGCGCCGCGGGAACCGAGCGTTGTTTTTGTCGTCATTCCTTTCCGCCTTATCAATTTTCCAGTTGTCTATTGTGGCAGGCCACTGTGGTCCACCTGCAATTATCGATGACGTTACCGATGATACAGTAAAATCAACATATTTCACAAAATTTTGTTTATACGCAACTTCTAAAAAGTTTTCTTCAATGCAATAAATTAGTTAATTGTATCAGCTAGTAATACAATTAACGAGTAACGGTGCTAATAAAATCATTAATACTAATAATCCTATGTATTAATCATTAATACTAAATATCCAATGCTAACAATACTAACATTATAATTTTCTAAGAATATAATTAAAATAACCGGTAAAGTCTAGTTCCAAAATGCACGATGGAACTCGACGCAGGTTGTCTAGATTCAAACCAACGGCCATCTTAGGAAATTCAAACTTCGGGACACGCCGTCCCGTGCTTATGGAGGTAAATCTACAAAAAAGGAAATCAGGGGAATATGATTGAGCAACGTCGGAACAATTTTCAACGACTAGAATGGTGACTGGTTTAAATCGGGCGAACCTGAGCATTATGTGGAAAATCGGCACGTTTACGCCCAAGGTTCGGAAACCGCGGTGCGACCATGCTTTCATGGGTTCGTTGCTCTTCTTTGAACGGGTATTTCGTAACCTACGCGTTCCCCTCGTTCGACGCTCACCTTTCTCGAACGAGATAACGTTTCGCTGGTTTCGGTTCCTAATGCATCATGGAAGCGACACAATGTAACAGCATTATACAATCAACCGCATAATTTACCTGGCTCGCGGTGCCTCACGCTCTTCCTACGTTTCAACGTGCCTGCACGAACGACTCGATTCGATTATCGAATCGATCTTATTCTGCGCACAATTCAAGTTCGTCGAATCCGTCTGTTTTACCATTGGCGGATAACGCGACCAATCGTGACGCAGTTAACAGTTTCGACCGGCGACACCAAGATGGCGGCACTTCGATTTCGTGAGCACTCGATGTATCGATTATCGACGTTCGTTTCAATATCCTTTCGGGAAATCCGCGACTTACCGAAATTTTCGGAAATCCTCAATCCTTTTGGCTAACCTAGATTCGAAGGAGATGAAATTTTAGGTTAGTTTCACGGTTCGCTTACTCGACGCGGTTACAGGCTGTGCGATTCGAATCGGTTTTACGTTCGTTTTGACATTACGTTTCGAGACGATTCGATAGTATCGAGGTTTTTTGGCAGATCGAAAGAAAGATGTCCCTCTATGGTAGATTAGAATGTTATTAGTCATTCGGTCCCGTGTTTGTAAGTAAATATCAGCTGGATGCGCAGAGGAAAACGTTACGTTACTCCGTGACACCGTGTAACGGATCTGACTCGTCAGACGTGAGCATTTCGTCGAACGGGACCAGGCAAAATGGGCCTTTTCCAGACTTCCTCGCCTTTCGACGCTGACGTCGGTGAGCGCTACACTTCTCTCCCTAGCCTTAATTCACTTAAAATCATTATTTCGGATAACTCAATTTCTCGTCAACGGAATCTAGTTTTTTGCCCCCCGACAGCTGGATTCTGCATATTCAGGATCTAGCCGATCCGTTTTTTGCCCCTGAACGTCGCAATTCCGGATTTCGTCGACACATTAAGCGGTTGTTGACATTTGACCTCCAATTAAGATATCAGATTTTGTGAACTGCTCCAATTCACATTTTGCATCTGTTCGATTCATTGTCGGAGTAGTATCTACCAAATGATTCGCTGGAACTTGTAACATTTGGCGATGAATCACAGGAATCTTATGGTCTTTTAATTGGAAGTGGTCATTCTCCATATTAGTACTGCAGAAATGAGATGCGTTTCCATTTAATTTCTGGAACTTTGTTTTACGATGTATCATTGAAATATATGGCAATGTTCGAACAATGCTTTCCATTTTTGTTTTTACAAGAATTCTTTTTTTGCAACAGAGAAGGCAACCAGCGAGAATAATATAGCTGAGGAATGGGGAAAAATAATGGACATTTGCGACAAAGTAGGAACTTCCACTCAAAACGCTAAGGACTGTCTAAGATCCATTGTTAAGAGACTGTACTCTCCAGATCCACATGTTGTTATGCAAGCATTAACAGTTAGTATATCCTTTGGACCAGGAATAATTTCTCTACAGTACAATATCAAATTTATTCTATTGAAAATTAATTTGGCAACTAGTGTTTTAATCTCTTTAGAACGCATGGTTGTCCCATACATTTAATAATTCATTTGCAATTTAGCTATTGGATGCCTGCGTCAGTAATTGTGGGAAAATGTTTCACTTGGAAATTGCATCGAGAGATTTTGAAAATGACATGAGAAAACTAGTTAATCATTCCCAGCCAAAAATTGCAGAGAGAATGAAAGGGTTACTGAAGAAGTGGGCCGAAGGAGATTTTAAAACTGACCCCCAACTAAATTTAATTCCAAGCTTGTACAATAAATTGAAAAACGAAGGTTACGATTTTACTATTATCTCGGATACGGTAAGGCTCGTCTGTTATAAATTTTCTTATCGTTATAAATGTTTAGTTGTTATCGAAATGTAATTCGAGATTTTATGTGAACAAATATGCTGTGATCTTGTAGCCTAAACGTACAAGCGTACTAAGCAAAGATCCAAATGTAGTAACAAATTCACAGGAGGAAGAAGATATTGCTAAAGGTATCCTCATACATTTAAAACGTCGTACATTCCTATTTTCTGAGATCTACGAAGCCATACTTCTTGTTAACTAATTTTTTAGCTATTGAACTTTCACTGAAAGAGAGCAAAGGCCACAGTCAAGCCTCTTCTTCGCACAGTTCACCATCTTCCAAGAAGAACACCAGTTTATATCCAAGCGTAAATACAGCGCTCGGCACTTCCAGCAATTCCGAAGGCAGGAAGGTCCGCGCTCTGTACGACTTTGAAGCAGCAGAAAATAATGAATTAACGTTTTTCGCAGGAGAAATAAGTATGAGCTTCCTTCTTCCTTTTTGCCATTTTTTCAAAGGAGAATTCCATGTTAACCGCAATCGAATAAACTCTGAATACAATACATTGTTATAAAATGAATTGTAGTTAATCTGTTGGACGACTCTGACCCGAACTGGTGGAAAGGCAGTAACTACACAGGAGTAGGACTCTTCCCCTCGAATTTTGTTACCGCAGATTTATCCGTCGAGCCCGAACAATTCACAAGTGAGTTTAACGAAGCGTTAAATATTCGTTAATATAATACTACTTATGCGAACTCCATGTGACAGAGTTGGAGCAAGGCAACAAGAAAATGGTTCAATTCGCCGAAGAAGTGGAGGTGAAGACAGTGAAGAGGGAGCCGGAAGTGATAGAAGTTGAAATAGACGAGGGGAAAATGGATAAACTTTTGCATTTGTTGCACGAAGCTGACCCTCAGTGCGATAACTCTGATCCACAAGAAATGTTGGAGTTGGAAGGTAAATTCTGTCGAACGAAAGACGACGTGCCTAACATGGAGCATCGGTCGATTGACACCCAGCGATATTTTCCAGAACAAGTGACTGCGATGGGACCGTTGATAGACGCGGCATTAGAGAAAGTGGACAGGAGGCATGCACAGTTGACTCAGCTTAGTTCCGACTTGGTGGACGCTCTGAACTTGTACCACACGTTGATGCGAGAACCTCCGCCACCTACACCGTCTAGTTACACGCTACCTAAAATGCCGTCGCACGTAAACCCCTACCAGTACCAAAATCATGGACCACCACCTCCGCACGTGAGTACCATTCACGCGTGCTCTGAATATTAATCGTTATCCGTGCATTATCCCATAACCCATCGAATGATCCGATCGACAGATATTCAACGGAGTACATCCGCCTCATCCATCGTCTTTCCCTGTCGGAAGCAACCCGTCGGTGCCGTACAGCGCCAACATGCCAACAAACGAATACATGGGACCCGCGAGTATGCCAAACATGACTTTACCCCAACATTTTGGGCACGTGCAATCAGGGCCGCACCAGCACCCCCCGGGACACGGCCAAGGCCCACCGGTTCTAGAGCAAACCAGCCTCCCCTACTCCCACCAAGGGTACGTGTTGATGTAACAATTTGCTTTAACGAATGAAATCTGGTAAATTGCCATTGGGAACTGCGGTAGAAACGTTTCTCTCACCTGAAAAGGCACTGAACGGAGTAAGCTAAGAATAAACGAATGTCTTGTAACATTGTGCGACAGATATCCACCTCAGTCTGGTTCTATGCCAGGACCTTATGGTCCGCCGGGGCCAACGGGACCTTCGGTAAGCCAGCAATCCCAGTATGCCCCGCCAAACGGGCAGCATATGTTGTAAAGGATGCTACGCGATTCGAATTCACCCTGTACTCTAACTCAAGCTGTACAATATTACTATATTATAATTATTTAAATAAACATACCCGAAGTAGCCAAAGATATTGGGCTTTTGATAGAAGTTTTGCATTCGAAAGTTATCGTGTAAGCTTGTTGCGTAGACACGTACGCGTAGCGACGGTTCAAGGCGGTTAGAGGCGGCCGCTGTTTACTCTGATTTCGATCACAAGCAGCGGCCGGTATGCGTTCTCTCTTAGGCGTTTCCGTTTCAAACCGATCGGTTTCTTGGTATTGTTGTATTATTCATTTGTGATTCCTCTCGACGTGCAACGTTCATTCATTTTCATTAACTGTCGAACGAAATTAACGTTGCATCGAGAAGGAACTGCGACAAACACCGCCGGCGTTGCACACATACACACATGAACGCAGACATAAATATACGCGTACCGATACGTAATCTTAAGTTCGCGGCGGAGCGGATGCTCCGGCCATTAATTTATAATCTATCGTGTAAAGTTCATCGTGCGTTCACAAAGAGTTCTCTATAGGATTGCACTATCGTTCACCGAGTACACCGAGTTCACGTACGAACGCAGAGTAACGCGAACGGTGGAGACTGCGTATCGAAAAGCATGACCGTGTTTTATAGTTTTTTACCGTCATTCATCCTCGACAAGTAACCGCACGAAAGGAGCCTTAACGGAGAATAAAATATGTAACGCGACGGGCGGCTTGAGAAGCTGCCCGAGCGGAAGAGCGCGTGTCCCCCATGGAAATTCGAAAAGCGATCGCAACAAGACGTCTCGACCTGGTCTAGTCTGTCCGCTGTGTATAATAAATCTATTTCCTATTAAATGTTTATCGAGCGAACCGCGGGGAGCTTTCGATAAATCGTCGACGCATAATATTCGCGAAACTGCTCGTGTGTCTGTGTGTTGTCTCCGGCGCGCATAATATTCGAGGCGATGCGAGCTGAAAGTAGAATAAGACGTCTCTTAATCTTAACTCTTTTTCTTTTGGTAAACGTTTTCATTCACGAATAAAGTGTACATTTCCAAACGATCAAATCCAACGTTACTCATTGACAGACTCATTGGCGAATGAAATTTATATCAGTAAAATTACATAGCGTAACGACATTCTGTTACACAAACACTCGTACTCGAATTCCTTGTATATTATATTGTATATTGTATCATGTATGATAGTAATAATAATTCCAGAGTAAACGACGCTCGACACGAATTAAGCAACCGATTAGAGGGGTAGCAATGTCCTGTGTACTACTCGAGTATATTTTTCCAAATCGTTCTACTTCGTTCGTTTCATTCGGAGTTCCATGTTCTCGGTATTAGCCTTCTTGATTGGTCGTTAAGAGGAGGATGCGTTTCGTAGGACATAAATACACGTGTGTATGCGACAGGGTTCGAATCAGTTGGAAACCGATGACCGTTTCAATGGACAGGATTATTTCTGACACGATAGTGCAATATAGGCATACTTGAACGTGGCGTAGAACCGATTAAATTATCCAGCGAAGAGGCGACGGGGTTGCTGTAAAAATCTACTGGTTGGCCGAACAGTTGAAAGTTGTAATGTATCGCGGGAAACGGGGGAGAACCCGTGGGTCTTTTGTAACGAATTTGTATGGTAGACGCCTCTAACGAGAGGCAGAGTGAGAATGCGAGAGGTGACGACTGTGAGCGAATCAGAGGAGGTGGAAGAGGAGGCACAGGACGTCGACGGAGGATCGGTCCTGTGGAGCATAGATGTAATTTACATTGTATATGTTACGTTGCCATTAAATTCTCATTATTTACATAAGCGTTGCTCAGATTTCGTCACGCGAACCTTTGAAATAATCAAGTTCTAAATAATCGGTGGAACGTTGAAATATCGAAGTACTCGAATAACCAAATTCTCAAATAATAATTTCAAGCCAACAACAATGGTAATGACAAATAAATTGCGGAGCCAGCTAACGACAAGTTGACCAGCCGACGAGCAGCCAACCGCTCATCATCGTCCCTCATTTTTGTTATTGCACGACGAATCAATGTTTCGCCGACCTTCTGATACTTTCGCTACCGCGATCGTTTCCCACAATAGTCGTGATTCCCAAGAATCGTTCGAAATCTCGTCATCTTCCCCGGACGGTATCCGGCGCTCTTTCGCGCACGATCCCATCGGGCTTCAAGATTTACGATCGTCTAACATTCACAGGAAAAAAAGGAAACGGAATATCGCTCGATGGATCGTCATAAATCATCGCGAGAGAACAACGATCCTCGGTTCCTTTGCAAGCCTAAAGTATCAATAATAAGAACAATCATTCTCACGGTATTCTCAAATCGCAAAGTATCCTTATCAAAGTAAGTAACGGTAATGATCACGGGTCAATCTAGACCCGGGCGTCACACGGTCAATCACAGCGGCCGAAAGAAATCCTCTCGATCAACCCTTTGCACTCGAGGGTATTTTTCTCAATATTCATTACTTTCTGACGAAATGTCAATATTTCTTACAATTAACATAAAATACCTTGCATAAATCAACTGACAACTATTTTATTCCGATGTTCCATGTGTTCGTTATATAAAGTTAATATTGAACCTTCAATTTTACAATGTTCTTGAATCAAACCAAATGGAAGACTCTCAGTCACCAGTTGATTTGACACAGTAAAATTATAGTGATATTTAATGTTAAACTTTGTACAATGCCTCGATACGTGACACATTGGAATAAAACAGCTTTGTTCCTCAATGTACCGGCGACTTCTTCTCGAATTAGTCTCAAAGAGCATCGTCTTCGCCTCGTGAAGAAATTTTAAATATTTCTAATAAGAAACATCCGAGTGCAAAGGGTTGAATTCGACTGAATCCGCGATCCCGGCGAGCGCACAAGGATCTAGAATGTGAATGCCAAGGCTGGTGTCTCGATTTTTCCCCGTTTTCCTCGTTCTTCGAGAGGAACGACGCGGGAGATGCCATTGCCAAGGAGGACCGCTGGTTATCCCATCGGTTATGAGGATGTTATGATCAGTCTCTTATCGATGGCTGCCCATCGATATTCAGATCCGTGATGTTGCGTAAACAGCCACCCGTTGACGTCGCTCGTTCAAATAGACAATATAATATTAAATCATCGAATCGAATGATTATCGCACGTCCATCTAGTCTCCGTCTTCTCAAGAGCTTCGAAATCCTCGTTGAATCTGGTAATTCGATTTGGTCGGGGTCACCGGTGACCCTGACGTTCGACTCGTTAACACTAGAACTACGAATTTAAAACGATACGTGATCCCTATAAAAATTGTAACAAATTATTTTCGGTTTCTTGAAACATTAACATCATTTCAGATATTCAATGCTTTTATCAATAATTCCAAAACAATCGAAACCAGTCATTTTGACTGTTGCAGTAGTTCCAGTGTTAATGATGACGCTCGTCGTTGTCTACCGGTCGTCTTTCCCATTCGCGTGATCAATCTTCGAGAAATGGGTCAAAGGATGGCCGCGCGGTTGTCCGTGAGGTCTCTATAACAGGACAGGACAGAAGACGCTTTCGCAGGCGAGGACGGCGAGAGACAATTACGAAAACCACATCGGTCGCTGATGGAAACGCGAACCCATCAGAAAACTATAAATAGCAAACGGACGCATTCTGCGCATCCCAGGTGATGCCTGGGATTGAACGATCGCTCGTCGAAAAAATCGCTCATCGGAATCGTCGAAATCGCCGAAGGCAATTCGAACGATCGAGAAAGACAGAAGACGCTTTTCCCGAAGAAGCCATTTCTCCTCGAAGAAGAACGACACCGCGGTGGCGCAGGTCTCTCGGAAACGGAGAGGCGAAGCGAGGTCAACGATCGTCGTTTAACGATCGTGTTATTCGAGGCTCATCTTCGGCCTTGCCTCCTCGTTCCTCTAGAAGACGGAGAAGGAAGAAAGTTTACGCGGCCGCAAGGACTCGCAATTTTGTTAAGCCGGCCGCGTATAAATTAGTTGATTCATACGGAAAGTGAGCCGTCATTCCTTCGGGATTGCTCAATCGGGGGGCTGCCGGCTACGCGAATCACAATTTATTTTCCTCGGCTCGACGTGGCGAAATCGGAGCCCGAATGTATTAACCCTTTACACTCCAAAGTTTTTCACTGGAAATATTCGATATTCAGCGATGAGAAATGATGTCTGAAATTAATTAACGAGGAAACATATAAATTAAGGAGGATAGTTATTTGATTTCAATATTCCACATGTTGATGAATCATATAAAGCTTAATATTATATGTCAGACTTTATAATTTTGCAAATCAAATCAAGTGGTGACAGAGTGACGTCTCGAATACAAAGGGTTAACCCTTTTCCGTCGACTGCCGACTCAGTTGAACATTATGGAATTAGGATGTTATGAATCTATAAAGTAAGCTTACAATGTTGTAAACATGTAAAATCGCGAGAATCGTGGTAAAATTGAAAGATTATCAAGTTACAAAGTTACTAAACGATGAAATTGCGAAACGGTGGAGCGTCCGAAATGAAGAATCGAAAAATTATTCAATTAGGACGTTACAAAATCGCAGGAGCGTACATTAAACGCTATAAATTTCTGTTTAACAGAGTCGATTAGATAGCAGCCCATTAACCGGACGAGCTCCCGAACGAGCAGAAGCGTAATAATAAGATTTCAAGCGATTCATTTCGCAACGGTCACAACTATATAATTTCATTAATGTTCGCACGGTGGTCGTGGCGTAACCTCACGCGAGGATAGCTAGACGAATAAACCGGGGAGGACTGGATCGGTTAAGGCGACTACATAATAAGAAACTTCTGCTCCGAGGGCAATTAGAAAAATATAAAACCGTAATAAGTCGAAGGTGAACAAAGGGGAAGAGAACTGTCAGGCTAACGCGAGTCGTTTAAACTTTAAGCAGTCGGGTTTCAAACGATCAAGATATCGAGCCGCGTAATTGTCCTCGAACCGGAAAGCGGAAAGCGGAAAGCGTCCAGCCCTCGTCATCGATCGGATAATCCTACGCTTCGAGCCTCGTTAAACATTAAATCTAATTAGTACGTTGGTTCCGTCGGACGAAATCGATCACGCCGATTCCCACTGAACCAGCGGTTATCAACGATTTCGTCGCTTTAACTTGGTAACTCGGCCGTTTGTCGATTCTACCATTCCACAATTTGACGATTCTCATAATTCCATAATTTTATCGTTTTATGAATTCAGAGTTTCACAATCTCACAGCTTCACAATTTCAGAATTTCACAATGTTCCACGTGGGATCGGAAGGTCAAGTTTCATTGAAACGTCTCTGAAATGATTGCCCTAAATTACAACTGATCATTGAATTATCTTTAACCCTTAGCAGACTCGATATTCTATTTTATTGCAACCTCTACCTGTTTTAACAATTTTATCTATATCTATTTATCAGAATTGTACCATTTAAAGGTAACATTTCAATGACTCCCAAATATTCTAGAATAAACAAATAAAGCGTCATATTAAGCAGTAATTGAATGAACTAATGTCGACGTGAACTTCAAAGAAACCAAGAGCACTTCGGACCGCAAAGGGTTAAAACTCAAGTTGCCTCGCGTTGGGCACCACGAGCCTATGCAACGCAGTTGCGTGCAAGCAAGTTCAAACGACACGTGTCTACATGTATTTTACATGACAAGAGGAACTTTAAAAAAAGATGGCTGCAGGACGTAAGGTTTGCCAGGCTCGCCACTCAATCCGAATAAAGTACAGTGACATTTAGCCCGCGAGCCTCGAAAACAAACGGAATTTTTCTTTCGGGGTTTCGTAACCCGGCAACCTTAAGCCTTTCGCTGTCTCTTTCGACGTCTACTCGACGTCTATTGGAATCCGTGGCCATGTCCGCCAATTTCGTAGACCTTGCCGTTCGTGGAACGTTAATTCGACGATCTTCAACGTTGCCTATTCAATCTTAGACGCTAGAGCTATCTGACAATCAAATTGTATTTCGCTGGAACTGTCAAACAATCGAATTGTCTGGATTGTTGCTTATAAATGGCGATCATCTTGCCACAAATTGTATTATAAAATAAAGAAGACATAGGTTGTTTAACACTAGAACTAGCATTTACGATTAATATGCAATTATAAAAATAAATAATAACTCAAATGAAGCTATTTATTTTCAGAATCATTTCGAATATTCAATGCTTCTAAGATATGAATGATTGCTAAACAAAAACATCGAAACCAGTGATTTTGACTGGTACGTAGTTCTAGCGTTAATAGTGGCAGCGTCGAAGGTGTCGTCGAGAAACGTAAAGAGGAGAAACCACGAAGAAGCGACCGCGAGATGGACCCAGCTAGGAACTGCATCGCGCCTGACATTGGCGGACATGTTCGTTCCTCTCGGTGTCTTCGATTACCCACCGGTGAAAGTTAACGACGAGGTGCATCCCCAAGGTCATCCGCGAGGAGTCACGAGCCAGGAGCCAGGAGCCACGAGCCACGAGCCACGAATCACGGAGAAGCAGTTATCCTTTTTTAAAATTCGAATGTTATCGGTCGGTCTCCTCCATTTTACTCTCCAATAGTAGAGAGGACAAGGTGGCCATGGAATTATGGACAGTGACCGAATGGTTACATTGCATAACGGCCGTTCCTCGTATCTGTAAAATTCACAGTCACACATCAGAACATTCCACCTCTTCCACGCGCCTATCAGAAACAAATAGACGAGTAAATAAACAAGTATACGATACTCGTCAGCTTTTCAATTAGTCTCCCAATTGATTTCTCAATTGGTTTACCCGGCGATTAATTAGCTGTGCATCGATACTTGTTTTAAAGCTGCAGCTTTTCCAGTTCCTCGATGAATCTTTCAAGTAGTTTCTATATTCATTTCTGAACTAGTACTCCCGTCACAGTCTGAACGTCGAAGAAGTTAGACAAAGTGGTCGCAGAAGAAACGCATCCTCAGCCACGGCAATCCGAATGGAAATAATTGAGGTATTTCTAAGGGAGAAAAGAAAAGCGAATGCAACGGAATGCAGGGGGAATGCGTATATTCTGGGTCGAGCGCTGATTATCGACTTCCCTCTAACAAACGCGCGGGAAACTGCGCGAGTGTCCTCGGGAAGTCGCATTGTTCGCCAGGCGGCCGTTCGTTCTTTTACGCGATTCTCCTGTTGTGTTTCGACGTTGCCCTTTGCCACCTATAACCGTGCACGGTTCACGGTTTCCTTAAAGCGAATCGAACCGAACGAGCAGCAAAGTTGAACCGGTGCTTTCGAAACCGACACCTTGGCGAGGACGAACGGTAGCCTCGTTTCACATTAATTAAAACCAAACAGATCACTATAAATGCAAATGTTAAATTAGCCCAATGAATTCAACCGTTTGCACTCGACAAGTGACAGCGGAATTCAATATTAAATATTCTATAAAATTTACATATCAAATAGATCTCTCAATATATTATTTGCAAATATTAAAAAATGAATATGCATAACAAAATCTTGTCGACTGCAAAGGATTGACGCTTAATAAATATTTAGATTCTTACGTTGTCGGAGAACGTGCGTTTGGTCGACAGCAACCCTTCAGCGACTCGAGGGTCGTCCGATCGGATAAAAGTCAGTCTCGCTTGTTGGGACGCGTCACGTGAGGCTCGATCGGCAATTATAATATTATTATAGACTAATTACGACTACGGTCGAGCCGCGAAGCAAAGAAAAGAAGAGAGAAGAGTAGAGATGGGTCCTTGTGATTCAGAGTGGGACGAGTCCTCCGGCTGGTGGGGACCATTTCTATATAATCGACGGCGACGGTGCCCGTCTCTTCATATTCTATCAGTGGCCAGGTTTCTTTCACCGTTGAACTCTTTCTTCGACCCGCAGGTCCGTCGTTTCGTCGTTCCGCCGTTTCGTGATAACAAACAGAGAAAGACAGACAAGTGAGGCAAGGTGAGTAGTGTTTCGGACGGAAGCAACCGAGTGCGCCGGCTTCCGGTGGACGGAACGGTTAATAGAGTAGACCACCTCGATTATACGAACCAGTGACGCGTCTCCTTTTTTCCGTCGTTCAATTAGCCAAAGTACATTCATTGCCTGAAACACACCATGGTCTCGATTCATTGGGACAATCGAGTTCAGACAACTTGCAAATTTTAGTGCTAAGATATTACTTGTTAATTGCGGTAACGTTTCATTACTTCCATGTAGTTTCATTTAATTTCCTATTTTCTGTAGTATGTAGCTCGTCGCTTTGGCAGGTGAATGGCTTTGCTCCTCGCATTTTTATTGTTGGAAAGCTTCTCGGTCCCAATTAGTTGGGGAACGAATGGGAAATTACTATTCAGTTCTTCGTTTCTGAGATCCTTCATTCTGAGATTGATGATTCTAGATCGATCCTTTCCAGATCACACGTCAGACGTGTAACAGCATCTATTGCAGATAAGATCATTAAGTAAATTATCGATTCAAACGTTTTCTTTTCCAAAGAATAATAATCGCCACCTGTTTTTTTTACAGAATATCAGTTTTTATAAAAATATCTACTCTTCACGATGAATGTATTTCTTAAAAGCTTTGATTTGGAGTCGAAGACGGGTTGAAAAGAACTGCTTTGAGTTAATTAGAAGCAACCATTACGCGGTGTATCAACCGTAGAAGGCGGCGTGGATAATTATCGGTTCAATCATCGATTCGCACGACCACAGAGAAGCGAGGTTCGCTTACGGATAAGGGAGTGGTTCGCTTCGCCACTTTTACGCGGTTCAAAGTTGATTCATTAGCCGGTCGACACTTTCCTCTTGTGTGCAGAAAAAGCGGCATGAAAGTTCGTCAACGGTGTCGTTACATCGATGCCACCCAAAAGAGAAACTCTCTCCTCGTTGACTCGGGGAAACGTCTCTTTGTCACGTTTTTATCTCGATCCCTCTCCAATTCCTCGCGAATCTTGGAATTATCTGCAACGTTCATCCAGCAACACTGAAATTTCCAATTAGCATTAAAAGAAACGTCCAATTATTGAAATGATGGAACAATGTCGAATTATTCAAACTGAACGAATGATTTCCAATGGTTAAAGTTTCGACAAAAATTGAAATATGATTAGCGTTTGATAAAAATAGTAGAAACGCGAATTGCATAATTAAGAGGATCCTTTCGTTGGGCGCATTGTATGCAAGAAATACATTTAGATAATGTGGACTCACGGTTTCGTTTGAACAAGGCGGGTTGCATCAACCATGCCCATTGTGCGCTGAAAAGAAATGTTTGCACTTATCTCGCCAAGATAATCCTGGTTTCTTCATGTTGGTTTAGAAAGAAGCGTGACCTGATTTCCAAACCGATCTTCGTGAAAATATTACTGTTGCCAAACTGCCCGACAAACGGCTGAAAGAACGTGCTTTGTATCATTATAGATCTCTCTGAAACAAACGAAAACGAAACTAAGTTGGACTTTCCTTATGAATATTCATCAAGCTAGCTGGCATTTCATCTTAACCCTTTGAACTCCGTAGGCTCCAATATTGCACCAGTTATAATAAATATTTTAATGAATCTTAAAGAAACTACCCTAAAATTATTCGATTTTCCACGCATCCGAATTTCGCACTAAGCAAATTATAGCATTTCTCATTTTCGCTAGGAATACTATAAAAATTAGCAGTTGCTGATAGATTACAAAAGAACCTGGAGTGCTAAGGGTTAAATTAGCGAATAATTAATCAGCTGTACGAGCCGTTTAGCTCAACTTTAAAGAACGATTTTACAAAGCACGTCTGAACAGTGAAAATAAATTAATTGAAAATAAAGAATAGTCGGTTCTCTTGCTAATTCTATTTGAATTACGACTAATTAATAAATCGACGTGTAATCGGTTTGCGACTGGTTCGCGATTGATTTCAGATGATGCTGGTGCCACTGGCCGTGGTGGTGTTCGCGGCGTTCGCGTACGCCGAACCCGCCATCAACGAAATTCGGCCGCAGAGCAACAGACCCGGAAGATTCCTCTCTCTCCCCGTGCCGCAGAAGTGCTCGAACCGTAAGTAAACACGTAGCGAAGCCAACGCTCGCCGAATCTTTCGAAACGCTCGGCGCCTCGAGTGGCAAACTTGAAACGGCCCCAAACGGGGAGCCGAAGTAACGGTTATCGGCGAGAGAAATTGTATTCCGGTCGCTCGTACTCGCGTCGAGTATCGTTATCGTTCTCATTAGAACCGTGGACCTCTATGGAAAACGACAATTTTCAGATTACAACTGGAAGAATAGAATTACCATGGAAACATCGTTCAAAGTGTCGTTTTGGAAATTCAGTTTTTTCAATCTTTCATAAACGCATGATGTATAGAATAGTTGCTAGTAATTAATATTGTTCATTAAGAGGCTCTAAGTTCTTATGCGTTTATTGCAAGCATGCAACATTCTAAAGAACGCAATAAGAGAAACATAAAATATCCAAAGCATCGCAATTCTATCTTTCCAATTGTTCTCCAATCATGTTTAACCCTTTGCGCTCGAAAGTTCTTCACTAGAAACATTCAATATTCTCTTATAAGATACAGACGATGTTTGAAATTAATTAATAAGGAAACATATGTGAATTAAGGAGGATAGTGATTTGATTTCAATACTCCACATAATGATGCATCATGCAAAGCTTAATATTATATATAAGACTATAATTTTGCAAATCAAATCAAGTGACTGAATCACCTCTTGAGTGCAAAGGGTTAACATTGCAATTCCAAGATTCTGAATGCCCCTAAAGATCCGCAATCCACGGATCAGTGCGACACCGCCATCGGAAATTCCCGGTGGCTCGTAACTGCCACCCTGACCAGTGTCCAAGATGACTCGAGAGTCATCCGGGTTGCACAATAGACCAGGTAACCGGCGTCACGTGGCCGCTCGAGGAATATACGACGGCGGTGTTGCGCGAGAGCCTTTTTAGCGTGTATTAGCCGCGTTTAGCCTCAATTCCTTCCAGCGGAGCGTGCCGGTGCATCGAAATGCGATTCTTGATTCACGGAAGCGTCCCAATCTCCGCGAGGCTCGCCCGGAATGTTAATTATTTAATGACCATGCGCCCTGATTCGTCGCCGCTTCACGCACGGTCACTTTCTCCGGAGACTGCCTCTGCCCGCCTATTCACCTGCTCCCTCCTCGCGATACAGTTCTCATTTCGCAGGTGTTCCCGGTTGACGCTCGTGTCGCCGAGCTCTGCTTCCAAACCCGTTCCTGGTTTCTTCCTCGATCACTGGAAAATGAATATTGAATTAGAAGAAAGTTTAGCTACTCGGTACTTCAAGTATATTAGGACCTCAACACTAGAACTACCGTACCAGTCAAAATGACTTCAGTTTTTCTGTTTTACAATTATTGATATCTTCAGACCATTGAATATTCGAACTGATTTTGAAAATAAATAGTTTCATTTGAATACTATAATGAATGTATGAAGAATCTATTGCTACAATATTCATAGCGATTACATTTCAATGGTATCAAATGCTCGGTAGTTCTAGTGTTAAAATCTGCTTGTATAGCTTGATGACTGCTTGATCGTTGAAGCTCTAATTTGAAGCCTTGGGAAGCCAGGTTTCTTTTGCATCAGATCCTCGATGTGACTTTAATATCCTTCGTCCTGGCGAAGATTGCAATGCTTCGCATTTATGTTGATTAAGTGACCTGTCAACAAAAATGTTCACTTGTGATTCATGGTTTTATCTAGCTAAATGCAGACTTTAACGGCTATTCCGATTTCAATGAATTTTATTGAAAACTACATTGACTGGAGAAAGGCGAAGACACTATCAGCTAATAAAGTGCTAGATCTATTGATACGTCGACTGTTGAATCGGTTTTCTTAAGTGGAGAGCTACAGTTGTCTATATCTATCTTAGTGACAGGTGTGTTCACCTTCCACCTTACAGATTCAATAAAATTCTATAAACATTCTTTAATGAATATTCACGTCAACTTTGATCGATGCGTATCCCAGCATCCCATTTGCCTACTCTGAGACCTCTAACTTCCAAGAGCTAAACGCACGGTCAATTCCTTTAAGAGCAAACTGACCAGGTCTCCAAAGACGAGTCTGTTAACACTAGAACCACCGTACCAGTCAAAATCACTGGTTTCGATTTTGTTTAGCAATTATCGATATCTTCAAAGCATTGAATATTCGAAATGATTTTAATAAATAGTTCCATTTCAGTACTATAACGAGTGTCTGAAGAACCTGGAAATAATCCATTGTTACAATTTTTATAATTGCATATTGCATATAATCGGTAGTTCTAGTGTTAACTGAGAAACGGACAGACAGTTTCGGTAGAGCCGATATCGCGGCGGTAGAACAGTCTAGAACAAAGTAGAATGAACATTCGTGAAACGAGCAATCCGTGCAACGGATCCAGTAACACAGGTGGCGATCGAGGCGTCAAAGTCATCCTCGCGGCGACGAAGGATCACGCGGTGTTCGCGGGCAAACAGAAACTTTCTCTTTCGGCGATGCGATGCACTCGAAACGCTGATATTCGGAATCGGCCGTGACGTCAGCCGTTCGCATGCTCGGAGAGCGTTCTGAAAGATGCTCGCAGGCCTTGAGTGTCCCGCGTCGAAAGCGGCGTTTCGTATCGGAATCGATGCCTCTGAAACGGCCGAGCATGAATAATTAATTGGAAGCTCGTTACGCAACGGCCGGATCCGATGGAGATGTTTGGACTTAGAGACAACCGTTTAGAAAGAAAACCAGTCGATTAATACCGATGTCGCTTGCTCGCCCGTTCGCTCGCTCGCTCGCCGCACGGATGAATTAATTCCGCAAGATTGATGTCAACGCTGCAACGGTAAAAAATTACTTAACCGTTAGCTTTAACGGCCACGTTGACGGCATTTCTACCGGCTTTGTCATCGTCACGACTTCATCGAGGCTGGATCTTTATGCGTTTATGAGAAATTTGAAAACTCCTTAGAATTATAAGGGATGTATCAAATTTCTTTCATTATATATATTTGTACAAGATGTCCGAATCATAAGTATAGTTCCTTTTGCAAGATATTACAAAATTACAGATAGATACAATAGAAAAATCTATTTTTATAATGATATGTTTGTAAAGATTGAATTTGCATAAAGATCCTCAGGCTATCGGCGCGTATTAACACATTAAATGCTTCTAGCCGGGTAATAAAAAGCGAAGAATAATCGCTACTAAATCGTTACTCATCGCTCGGATCATCAATGATACTTTACGAGCGTTTCAATTCGAAAAGGCTGTTACACGCTTCAGCCGCCGTGGAAATCGAATTGAACTCTTGCTCTATGAACGGTCCGTTCCGATCGAGGGAAACGGTACGCGTCTCGAGAGCTTCGAGACCTCGGAGATCAAACAAATGAGAAGCGTGATATTTTCGAAAGCGGAGAATCGATTCACGGTAACGGAATTTTAACCCTTTGCACTCTGTTGTCACCACTGCGGCGACATTGTAAGACAAGTTTATAACTTCGTTTTTTGTCAAACGTAACTTTAAAATCTACACGCGCTTTTTTAATGACACAGCATATAATGATAGCTCGTATTAAAACTGTTTCGGAGTCGCTGAAAGGTTATATTAAAAATTGCTCGGAGTGCAAAGGGTTAAAGTGATCGCGTTTCTACAGCGTGTGATATTAGGTTTACGGGACGTATGACGAACTGATTAATCTGGCGCGTATCGAATGTCTAAACGAACATTTTTCTGTACAATAGAATAAATATCCGTAAACCTAATATTAACGCGAGAGGCACGAGGGCCGTGGGACTGAATCACCTTTGCAACGCGCGATGCAACGGTGTTCAATAGAACCGCGACCGTCTTACATCCCAATGATCGCGATCCTCCGCCCCCTCGAATGCTCGATCGCCTGGCGATCCCTGCAGTCTGCTCGATCAAAGCGCATTCCAGCTTTTAACGAGAACTGTCTCTGAATTTTACAAGCCACACGATCGCCATTCAGTGCACCTAATCACACGTGTTTCGAATAAGATGTTCATACTGTTTTTCTGATAGAAACGTATACACACACGCACACGTGTGGCTCGTAGAATTAAAGTACTTTCTAAAAAGCATTCTACCGGCGGAGTTGAATTATTATCGGAGGTTCGGTCGAACGGACTGCATGTAACGCGAGATGCCTCCACTCGGTACCTCGCAATTAGTAACAACGAGAGGATAGAGTCACGCATCGTGTTGGATCGCGTCGCGTCCCGCCGATGAAATCATCGAAAGCGGAGTTCCTTCGTGACCCCGTTTCCCGGGAGCATCTGCAGGGGAAATCATTCCACGCGCAACCCTTGCGCAAACCCGTGTAGCCGATCGAACGTTGTTTCGCTGGAAAAATTGAAGATATTCCATTACGATGCTACGGTGTTATTGCTTGTAATTCCAGCGACGCTTAATTACTTATACCAGCTTTGAGAATTCTTTTGTCTTCCATCTCGTAGATCTTGTCGGTCACTAACGAACGGTTGATTGCTCGGGTTTCTGCTGTCTGAAACGTGGTGCCAATTAGTTGAGAGTTTAATAATGTACTGGATACTGGAATAATTACCTCGTAATTTTTATAATATTCAATTAACTCTTCCCTGTAGTTTCATCGAGTTCACTTCTTGTTACACCTGAAACACCTCGGTCCCAATTACTTAAAACCATCGAATTAAGAGATGTTAGCCAAACATCATTTGCGCATTTTCATTGTCTGAGCCAACCAACTCCGAATTAGCCGGGACAATCAAGGTTCCAGCGTACCTTCGGCCGAGAATACCGAGTCGAGGAGCGAGAGCCGAGTAGTTTTTAATAAGAATTGCGCAAAGACCGGCGAGAGAGGAGCCTCGAAGAAGGCTAACGAATCGCCTCGAAGTTGAGGCGCCTTATGACAGCGCTGACTGTCGCAAACAATCAGCTGTCGCAACGTGTTCTCCGGTAAGGTTCCGTCCGACTGACAACTTTACAAAAGGCCGATGTTCGTTGCCACGAAAATGTCAGGAATCGTTGCGAAAGGAAGCACGACGCTGCTCCCGCGAGATAATTCCCCCGTCCCATCGGTCGCCGGCCGCTGCAGCGGCCCGTACCGATGCGACTGCCCCATAAATCGCGGATATCAATTAATCGGCACCACTGATCGCGCCCAACTCTCGCACCCGACAAGCCTGTACCCCCACAAACTTTACTGGCCGAAAGAATCCACTCTCCAGCGATTTTCAAACGTATTCACCGCCGATTTCTACCTTGGCAACCAGCCCGAAGTTCAACATGCCCATCGAAGTTCCTGAAAATACAACTGGATACTCGGAATTACGACGGAAAACGATCTTCCCCGTCAAGTATAGCAGGAAGCAGTACACGGTGGACATTTTAGGTGAATTTTCCACTGGGTGTGTTTCGCAAAATTCCCGATTTTCCAGTTGCCGCAAGCGCAACGGAGTCCGCAGCCTAGCGGCCGCGATCGGTCGCCGGCGATAGAAATCGATTTCGACGGAAGGAAGGAAAACGAGGAGACAGGAAGGAGGGAGGAGCAGGCAGGCAAGGGAAGGAAGTGGTTTCCGATTATTCCGAGGCGCACAATGCGGCGATCGTTCGAGATAGCGCGATTGTTTTCACGTTCATTGTTGCGCCGGTCTATCGCGGAGACGATAAGAAACAGGGATTTACCGCAGGAGAGGAAGCCGGTTGATGTCTGGTCGATTTGCCGGGGAAATTCGGCGTTCGTCGCTTTGCCCTAGTGTCCCACGGTTAGCCTAAACGCTGGGTCTATGAGCGTTCATCGTGGTTTACTCTATTGTTCTTGGGAAAGTCGGCTGTCCCGTCAGAATTCGTTTCCTCAGTAATTGAACTGAAAAATAGACAATTTCTACAGGTGTTCGTCGATGAAAATTGATTTTGATTGACGTTCGTAAAATGCTATTGTAGAAGAAACTCGCCCGCAGACCTCTCGGTCGCGTCTCGAGGGGAAAATCAATAGGGCCGCGATCCGACGCGAGTCCTCTCGAGATCTCCGCTGGGAGTACGTCGCGTGTACGATTCAATTATGTTTAAGTTGCGCGTGCAATCCTGTGCTCGAGAGCCGGGTTTCTAATCGGAGGCACATGATTATCGTCTGGTTAAATGTCAACGGTTTTACGCTCTTCCCTGGTATTTATACCAGCCGGGAATGCCTGTCCCGTCGCCGATTTACGACGGGTGTCTCGTCACGAGGTTCCCACGACGCGTGTTTGCGAAACCGTCTTTTCGCAAGGCTGAACTTAACCACCGTTTGGGACACGTTTCGGCCGACGGGAGTCTCCGGAGTACGCTGCTACTTTGATTAACCCTTAGCACTCCAGATGGTTTTGTAATCTATCAGCAACTGCGACTAATTTTTATAGTATCCCTGGCGAATATGAAAAATGCTGTAACATTTCTTAGATCTTTGATTTTCCTTAGCGCAGAATTTTGATATGTGCAAGATCTAATAATTGTGGGGTAGTTTCTTTAAGATTCATTAAAATGTCGATTATTCCTGGTGCCATATTTGAGCTTACAGAGTTCAAAGGGTTAATGCCTTAGGCAGAGATTCGACCGTTTTTCAATGCTGAAGTCTTTAGGCTACGCTAGTACCTCGATCGACGGTTGAGCTACAGTTTCGACCATTTTTTCAATGTTACAATAGCATCGAGCGAGGTCTCACTGTACTCTGGACTACTCTGGAGACACTACGACTTGAGTTTTCCTCCTTTCCTCGACGCAGTGCCTGCGACGACGAGTGAATTCGACTCGATTCGATTTATTCTGCTCCACAGGGCCAAAGGAATTTAACTACAGAGGCCACAACTACTTCTACAGCGGCCACATCCCGGCTCACGCTAACCAAAGGGTGGATTGGCTGGACGCCAGGAACATTTGCAGGGAGTACTGCATGGATCTCGTGTCGATCGAGACTCAGGACGAGAACAACATGATCTTCAGGCTCATCCAGCAGAGTAAGTTCAACGAAATTGCGACACCCTCTACAGTTATTAACACAATCGTGTAGTTACATAATAACTATAGCTATAAACATTGTGCAGGATGCACGAAGCATAATAGGAAAACATTAGGAAAACAATTTTCCATTAGTTCTTCTAATTGCCTTCTTAAGGAACTCGCGTTCCCACGAGGAGCCGCGGTCTAATTATCCCCGCGCGCGTCGTACGCGATTGTAACGATGATTACACGGCAACCGAGGCGATCGATATCCGTTCGAGGCATTATTTAGATCGTAGATCCGTTCATCCCTGTCGCAACTCTAGCTTAGAAAGTTCTCCAACCACCTCGAGCCGAGCGTCGCCGCCGTACGATACAGAAGCGACCGACTTCGTGAGCAATTTATTACACTCAACCTACTAACTTTCATCCTCGCCGGGCAGATGGTTCAGAAATTTCGAAACGGACGGTGTCTCAGCGATTCATCATGCCAGCGGTGTTTCACCACGGCGGGCGCGAGGAAACGCGAGAAAACGCGGGGAAACGCGAGAAAACGTGAGAGAACGGCATTCGGCCGCCATTGTTCCGGACAATAAGACTTTTTCCTGTCTCGCCGAGGTGAATCTTATCTTCGCGCGATAAAGATACATTTACACTTGGCCAACCGTACGGAAGGAAGCCGTAGCTGCAACAGTTTCCATGGAAAATCTCGTTAAACGTCTCCCATTAACACTAGAATTACCATACCAGTCAAAATGACTGGTTTCGATTTTGTTGTTTAGCAATTATCGATATCTTCGAAGCATTGAATATTCGAAATGATTTTGAAAGTAAATAGCTTCATTTGAGTACTATAATGAATGCCTGAAGAAACTGGAAATAATCTATTGTTACAATTTTTATGGGAATTGCATATTAATCGTATTAAATGCTAAGCGACAAACAGAAGAAAATAAATACTGATAAAGAACAAGCGGGAGGTCCATTCGGTTGGCCAAGTGTTCAAATATTCGCGTTACATGGAAATCTCGAACCTTCTCCTCGGCGACCAGTTTATCAGAGCTCGTAGCTCGCCGCGACTGGATCTCCCAGTTGAATTTAGCGGCTGAATCTTTAAGGCGAGGCGGGAGATCTTTAAGTAGGTTGAGGCTGAGAGATCCCATCGTTTTATACATGCGTGTACATTGTTGCATCACGAGACTCATCAATCTTCGGCGCGCACGTGCGCGCCTCGGGTTTCCACAATAGGCAATAAACTTTTAGGATGTCTATCTCTAGCGTTCGAAGCGTCGGCCGGGAAGCGTGCGTTCATTTTCCGAATGATTACTTAACGCGGTTTCACGTTGAATTTCATGAATATTCGAAAGCGTCCGTTTCCGAATTTCGAATTCCCAAGGTTCCAAACGAACAATTGTTCCTACGGACAGTAGAATAAATAACAAGTATCCATAGACGTTGCGAAAAATGAGAAAAATGAGAAACCATTTCCGCCAGCGAATAATTGATTCTGTCCAGACGATGTCCCCTACATCTGGACGTCCGGGCGCATCTGCGACTTCAAGGGCTGCGAGAACAGACGCGACCTCGAGCCGAAGGCGCTCTACGGGTGGTTCTGGTCCGCCAACAGGAAGAAGATGGCGCCGACTCACCAAGTGCCCGACGGCTGGACCTTCAACCCGTGGTCCCAGACGGGACACAAGAAGGTCAGGCAGCCGGACAACGCGGAGTTCGACATAAACGGCACCAACGAGTCCTGCATGTCCGTCCTGAACAACGTGTACAAGGACGGGATCAGCTGGCACGACGTGGCCTGCTACCACCAGAAACCGTTCGTTTGCGAAGACTCCGAGGAGCTTCTGAACTACGTGGCCAGCACCAACCCCGGCCTCCGCCTCTGAACAACCAGTCCCCGACGAAGATCGCATCGGCAGCCGCCCTATCCGTCCACGCGACTCCAGCGGGACGCCAGCCAAAAACGAGATGAAAATGAAAACGAGAACCACTGTCAAACGTTTCCTCTACAATAAATAACTATTTAAGTACAACTCGCTTTTCTGTTGCCTCCTCGTCCGGACGAGAAACATGGATTCCCGATACTTCGCAGATGGAAAGATTCTTCGACGATTCGCTCTTACCGAACACGTTCTCCGCGATCGTTCTTCGGGTACCTTTGTCCAGGGCTCGGACTTTCTCGTCGGGGTTATTCGCTTTTCGGGATTCTCGTTCAGGATAAACTAACCACAGGAGAAACAGTAGAGACATAACGATGTTGCGAGGCGTGGTCGTGAACGAGAATTAATAAACGTATTTATTACAATTCGGCTGACAACCTGCATTCATGAATAAACCTTAGTCCGTACTAGTAGCTACTCGACGTTTCACTCGTTCTCCGCTGTGCTGGTGCTCGGCTTCACCTCGTCGCTCTTTTCTTCACCCTCCTCCACGCCGGGCTCGCTCTTTCTCTTTCTCTTCCTGCCCCTGAGCTTGTTCAACTTCAACTTCATCCCTCGTTTGCGCTTGTGCTTAGGAATGTCCGTCGGATCTGTGAATCGAGAGTGATAGAATAAAACTTTCATTATACAACTGACAGTACGTACAGTCGTCGGGAATGTTCATTTGCTTCCTTAGGACAGCTCGAACTTGTTTATTGATGATTTCTCGGCACTGGGCGTCGAATCCGCTCGGCAGCCAACCCCTTTTCTCGTGGCACCTCGCAGTGGGCAGAGGATCAGGCAGCTTGGCTAACATTTCCTGTATCTCCTCCACGAGAACGTCGCAATACTGCAAGACAGTTAACGTGCAACGTGACAAATGTGTACAATTTTGGACTCGACCGTGCTGAATGGGAAATTATGGTGAAACCTGGTAGAACATTTGCCTAGAAGGGGGCACTGTTCCTTCTCTGTAAATGTACACGTTCTCGGTTAATTGTTGCTCCTTTTTGTAACCTTGCTCCGTTGACACTCCACTCAGCACCGTCTTTTGCTTGCCAACTGGTGTCGACCTGTAGGGCAACGTGTACTCTGAATAATTCCTCTTGCATTTCACGGTGGACCCCAAACCATCTGTTAAAATGAATTAGTATTTTGAACCGACTAGATCATTATCATTTTTTTAACGCGATTATTGCAACTCACGCATAGCTTTCAGTCTGTAATCCAAGGTTTGGTACTTCCTCGCGGTGATGTCTTTCCTCGGGTCGTAACCCAGTTTCACCCACATAATTTTCCATGGGCCAGTCATGAAGTAGTACGCCACGGAGGGTAACAGAATCTTCAAACGATCGTTGGAAAATTTCGTCCTATACATCACCGCGTTCTTCGACCAAATTGGTCGTTCCTCGAACAACTGCCGGATCTGGTCAAAGTGCGTGTTCTGGACGAATTTAACCTTCATGGCAGTCTCGATGCCAGCCGGTGGCTTGGTAGGGACCTCCGGCGTTGAGAAATAGATGAAATTTGAGAAACCCGCTTTTCGCTTTGTACTCTTTCCTATTATGTTCTCCGGATACGAGTTTGTCTCTGTCTTCGGCACGTACTGCTGAATCGTGTCCATCCTGCTGAAAGCAGCTGGCGGCAGGAAATAAGGTACGTCATTCTGCAACCATGAAAATCGTTGTATGTTGCTTGGATATATCTTATCGTATATGTAGTCCAACTTTTTGGGGTCTTCTTTGCTTTGAGTCATTGGCAGGTACTGAAAATCGCAGAGATCTGAAAAAATATTCCTTTGATCGTTTCAAATTCACTCAAACGATAAAAACGATCCTCTGCTATCAACTGTACATACTGGTAAATTTGAATTCCATATCCACCCGGCCTAGAACCTTTAATTTCGGTAATTCGTACTCCTCATCTTTGGAAAGATCTTCGTATTTATTCCCCTCGAATGTCGGAGGTATATTTTTTTCAGTCTTCATCGGATCGGACTGCTCGGGATCAGCAATGTCGTCCAATGCATTCACGCTGCAACTTTCTACTCGATCAGCCAATTCAGACATAACTTGTTCCTCGCTTTTCTTCTCATGTTTCTCTGTATCCTCTGTATCCGACAACTGTATTGCATTAATATTATGCTGCACCTCGTTGCTCTGGACATTGGTTACATCTACATTTTGTTCTGTTCGCTTAACTTTGGTTTCTTCCACTTTCTTTAATCTGGACTTCTTCACCCTAACTCTAAGTAAAAATCCTTTGGTATTATACCTATCTCCACAAGTTGGTTTACAATAAGTGTCATCCGGTCTGAATTTTAATTCCAAACGCCGATTCGGAGTATTTACTGCCTGTTAATGTTAACAATAGTTACTATAACAGTATCGTTTGCATACGTACATTTATTAAAAATATATAGTACTGTAGAAATTGCGCCAATCCCACCCAATGTCTCTATAGCTCTATCCGGATTAACAACGTTCCCTGGGTATCTAATGCAAATAAACTTTTTATCGAATCTATGGCCTCCGGGGAGCACGGGTCCAATGTAATCATCTTCGTGCTGTTTAACCGCTGCTCCTTCGTCAGCCTGTAAATTCTATGTAGTACATAGATACAGTAAAAATAACATTTAAACCGAAATGATCGACGAAAATAGATAGACGGCAAAAACGTATTAATTTGATCTTACAGTTTTGTCATCATTGGTTTCTGGTACATCAGCAGAAGAATCATCGCTGCCTAAGTCTTTACGATAATCATCGATCTTAAAATCCTCGTCTTTTTCATCTCGTGGATCGTAAGGTTCATCGCTGTCATTGCTCGATTCGCTCATTCTCACGTGTCCAAATATCCTACGAAAAACGTGTATTTTCAAACTCTACATTCTCTTGAACAACGTGATGTCAGCCTAAAGAATGATGATTAAGATAAAGTATTAACACAGAATATTCCATTCGTGTACGCGATCTAATAATCATCGATTCTTTTCTGCCCAATTAAAATGAAAATTTACTCGGCAACATTAATTTCAGTCAGATGGTAAACAGTATACAGACTGAATAAAATTCAAATCTATAATGTTTAAATACGTTTAAACGTTCGAACAGCTATTGCTACGTTCAATATCAATCGTAATAATTACAATCAAAACTTACAAACAAGCAGACACGCATTAATACAATATTTATCAGTTTCGAGGTTAATTCACGATGTATCGCTCCAGCTGTACTAACAAGTGCGCGCCGCGTGCGCTGCACGCCGAATCTTGATGTAGAAAAGGTTGCCTAACTGCAGGTGATAAGTTGACATTTAAATTATGCAATTATTACAGGCAAATACGCTCGATAATACCGCGGAATGAGTAACAGTTCTATGGAGAATGAATGATTAAACACTTAAAAGAATAGCTGAGCGAATAATTCGGAAAAATAAAACAACAGGCGATTCCTCTAATTTAAGTGAACCATCAAATATCGAACGTACAGAAGTTTCTCCCGTGAAATATTCAATAGATTGATACACCGATAAATATTGCAACTCGCCGTCAATCTCGTACCTGCCAATCAAGCACGGAACAGAAGGACAATACAAACGTGACGATAATAACGAAATCGGAAGCAACGAGACACGACAGAATTGTTTTGTTCTCTTAAAAGTTGCATAAGTTACACGTTAATCGAGCGATACAACTCTCTAGAAACTTTGTTCTCTGCCGCGTAGAAATGCAAACAACCGTATACTGTTTTCAAATACTGTTAACGGCTCTGATTCCATGAAAACAGGAAGTTCTATGAACTTTAATCACGTAACAAGCAACTCTGAAGACCTTTTTGAATGATTAATCCCCGGCTTTTCAGTTGAACCGCTCGCTTATAGTTCTTGCGCATAACTTTCATTTGTTGATAGTGTATAGCAAGCGAGAACAACCAACGCGGTACAGTCTACACGTTTATGCCCCGCGTTGAACCAGGAGGAAGAGGCAAGAGGAGGGAACGGGGAAGACAACGGCGATTGTCGGGAAATTTGAGAGCCAACGGTACTAGGAACACTGTAATAAGAGTTTCCGATAAACGTGACCCTTTGACAGACGTATTTGCCATTGGAAAGAGGGCGTGGATACTTCTAACTGGCTTACCTTGTAAGAATTATGTATGGACGCATGGGACTAAGGCAGCTGTATGATGGACAGTTTTAAATAATTCAATCCATGTCGGTAGCGGCGCGGTGCTGACGATATATCGCCCTTAGCCAACCGGATTTTCAATTAAATTCTGTTGACTGTGTTGGAGCCGATACTGGCCGGCATTTGTCACAACATTTGTCACAGCATTCGTCGATATTTCCAATGAGAAATATCCTCGACTGAGTACTCGATTAACCGGACAATTATCCGGTGTCGACGACCTTCCTGCAGGGTCCTAAACACATGAAATCGTTGCGTGAACCAAATGACATGATCATTCGTTACACGTATTCGAGGAACATCCGATGTCCAACCCGGCTGGCATGCGTGTACCATGAGCTCGTCAACGAGGAACTTAACATTGAACCCGCGGCTATTATCTACAAGCATGCCAGCTCGAGCAAGGGTGACCATTAACTCGGATGTATGCAAATACATAACTGTGCTCGCACACTCACACACAGGCAACCAAGGAAGGGCACAGGAAGTCGCCGAATAGAACAAGCTGCGCATGGGCGTTTCTATGGCGACGATTGACTCTTGCCACGACCTCTAGTCGCTTCTATCAATCTATTAGAGTGTTATCGCGCCGTGGCGAGGATACCTTTGCTCGCGAACCTTTGCAGTTCCCTTCTGCGACGAACCGACGTTCCCTTTGCGGTCTCCTCTTCGGCTTCCTTGCTCGAGGATCAACGGCTCTGCATCCGGGCTCAACTGTTCCTACAAGTTACTCGAGTCAGTGGATTCATTCGGCGCGGACGTTGGGACCAGACCCTTGGAACCTACCACACAACCACAGTTGCTTATCAAAGCGTCGTCTCTGTCGCCGTCGCGTTCGCTGTCCTTTCTAGAAGACCGGCGTCCATCCTGGAACGGTGATGGGGCTCGACAGGATCGCTCCGTCTTTTCCATGAATGGGGCCTTGCTGGAGTCGTGTCCCAGCGCGTTCGATTCGTTACCGCGAATACGCGTCAGAAGTCAATCCAGTGACGCCTCGTCGGCGAGCATGATTGCTAATTAACTGAAGATTCCTATCAGTCGGGGGATGCAAGCGACAGTGAACGTTAAAGTTGGACTGGAACGACGAATAAAGATTTCGCTTGAGTTCGAGTAGCAGCCAGTTCAAGGAAGTTCTGGCGAACCGTGGAAGACTTGTCTGGCGGGCAGTGTAACAAGTGAAGGTGAACGTGCTGACAGACCTCGTGGCCTGGGATCCAGAGATTGCCACTGGAACGGTAGAAATACAATTAGAGACATTGTGTTTTACGCGAGGCAGCGTAACGAGTAGATTGAACGTCTGTTGTGCTCCGTCGTGGCCAGAGGGGTTTCTAATGTGAGCTAGGAGTTACCGGTTCTATCTTTGAGACTCTGGGCCGAGGAACGCGTGAGCGGAAAATGAATCGGTCGGTGCTTGAAGCATGTGAGTAAATGGCCGTGACGGGTTTTCCCCATCCTTCCAACGACCTACTATGGGCATCTGCCTGGACACTGGTTAGTATTGTTCTTCTCTCTCTTTCTCTCTGTCTGTCCCTTTCCGTTGAATCACACGTAACGTTGGAATCAAGATCGATACTACGTCGCCAGGTGGCACGTTGTTATATTATATTGTATTATATTGCGTAAATTACCTCGAATTGTCCCATGTAATATCGAGCGGCCGCTACATCGTTAATCAGATTAATGGCGCCGAAACGCGTTCCCATTCATTTGCACACGTGTAACCCACATACATTGTACTTGACATTCCACTCATTAGTGGATCAATAAGTCTTTTAGCCATCACCGAAAACAGAGGAATACAGTGTTAGTAATTCGCAATGGTAATCGATGGAAGTAATTAAATGTGCGAGGTGAATGTTTGTTACTTGAATTAAATAACTTATTATTCGTTTCATTTCAATTGCATTTCATTTTCCATAGCGAGCGGCGTAGTGGAGCAATAGTCCTGAAAAGGGAACATTAATGTATTAGAGGAATAATGATAAAATCGTTACAGTATCGACGTTCCGTTAAATTCACATTTTAAATTCATAACTTTCGCGCCTCTTCTCCAAGCGCCAACGTCCGTTGGTTTTGCCGAGCGGCTTCCTAACCTTACTTTTCAGCTTGAACTCCTCAACTTTGCTGAGCGTTCAAAACTTCCAGCCCTCGGTTTTCCGTGAAATTCTCTAGCTTCCAGTCTACGTTTTACGGAAAACATATTAACCTAAAAAAGGACGTTTCTATATTGGTATTTATCTCAACTGATAATTAGGATTTAGAATTCGTTGCATCGATACGTTGGACGCTATTCCCGCTTAAATCAAACTCCATTGTCCCATTATCTCGCAACGATGGAGCGAATAATGAAAAAGGTATAATCTGGCTTATTGTTTACCTGCAGTCTCTTCTCTAAGCTCTGAGTTTATTGCGAGTAATGAAATATTTTTAAACGGCATCAAATGGGGAGCAGATAAATGCGCAAGTAGATTACGTCGGCCCTGCTCGGACAAGTGGATGAAGTCTGTATTAAGATAAGCAAGTAGATTAGGCCGTCATTTGTCAAACCAGTGGAATGAGGCTCGTTGAGCGGCCTCAGTAGTGTAGGCTGTGCTTTGATCGAACAGTAGAATAATCTGTTTTAAACGATGGCTACAGACTTGTCGGATGAAGGTAATTATGTACAACGTTTCGGATAGCTTGATGGCCAGAGTTAATTGTCTCCTGTACTAATACTTGGAATATTAACCCTTTGAACTCTGTAGGCTCCAATATTGCACCAGGAATAATATTAGATATTTTAATGAACCTTACAGAAACTACCTTACAATTATTAGATTTTTCACACATCCAAATTTGGAACTAAAAAGGAAAATAAAAGATCTAAGAAATGTTATAGCATTTTTCACTTTCGCTATGGATACTATAAAAACTAGTTGCAGTTGCTGGTAAATTACAAAACCATCTGGAGTGCTAAGGGTTTATATTTGAAATTACAATATTTCAGATAGTATTTGAAACGTAGTGTTTAAGATATTAATACTTCAAATTATAATATTTCAAATAGTATTTGAAACGTAGTATTTGAAATATTAATACTTCAAATTACAATATTTCAAATAGTATTTGAAACGTAGTGTTTAAGATATTAATACTTCAAATTATAATATTTCAAATAGTATTTGAAACGTAGTATTTGAAATATTAATACTTCAAATTACAATATTTAGAATATTAATATTCCAAATACTACGTTTCAAATACTATCTGAAATATTGTAATTTGAAGTATTAATATTTCAAATACTACGTTTCAAATACTATTTGAAATATTATTATTAAATTACAATATTTCAGATAGCATTTGAAACGTAGTGTTTGAGATGTCAATATTTCAAATTATAATGTTTGAAATAAGAATATTGGAAAGAACAATGATAGTCGATGGACAGAGCATCGTTCGTTGCTACTATTTTGCAGGAAACATTTGTCGTTCGCATAGTATCTGCCAGTATACTTGATCGATCACCGCCACCCAACCGCGAGTTTATATTAAATTATGGAAAAGAAATAACACCGTGCCGGCGAAAGTATTTAGAAGACCGTTCACGCGAACGAGAGAACCCATTTTGCATTGTACTATTAACACTCTCTTTATTTTACTCGAACAAATACAATAATTATTAGACTAGCTTTTGATGCATTTAAGGAAAATTCGAAAGAAACACCGTTTTGCTGATTACATTTGTCAACATCGGAATTTCTATAGAACCCTCCAGTCTATTAATGACTTAATCACAATGAATTATCATTCAAAAACATCTTCAGTAAGGAGAGAATCATTTTCTTCGAAGTTTAAAGAGAAAGTAAGGCACAAAACGACTAGAAACACAATAAATTATGATACAAAAATTAAAAAAAATTTGTTAGTACAACTAAGAAAACAGTAGACAGCGAAACGGTGATCGATTTTACTCGAGAGAAATTTCATTGTCCGTCCGTGCATTTTTCATGCGTCACTCGACATATTTTTCTGCGAATGCACATACACATGCACTCGCCACTTCAATTTTCTTACAGAAAATTGCGCGAGTCGGTTTCTTTGGATGGTAAACGATATTCGATTTCGTTAATTATGCATCGTAGTGAAAACGAGGAAGCTAAGGTATCCGCAAGGTGAAACATCGAAGAAAATTTGAGAGGAAAGGCAAAGAAATTGGATAAAGAACAGCCGGCGAAACTGAAAGTGCTCGGAGGAAATATTATAATATTTATCGGCGTGACTCACGTCGCGAATGAATCAATATTGCATGCGACTTCGCTTCCTTGTCGTTAGCGCGCCGGCGAAGTTGCTTTTCTTCGAGGAAACGCTGACGCGCCGGATGCATTTTTCAGTGGAGCTATACAGCGGTTTCTTACTCCAATTTCTCGCGAGATTAACGCTGGAACCAAATTGCCTAACGAGTAACGTCGCAACATATTCAGTTAACCAGTTAACTGTGACGAGTATTCACGTCATCGTAAAGCTTGACGTGATGCTAATTCTTTATTTTTTCACATAAACATGTAATTCTTCTTTGTTTCGCTTTGATGTTTCATTCAAATATACTCTACGTGCATTCGTCCTGTGTTCGACGAGTACACGCTCCATTTTTTAATTTTATTCCGTGCAGAACGAGAGGTTTTTTAAATTCCACAGTTAACTGATTAACACTAGAACTACCGTGTGTTTAACACAATTAATATATAATCATAAAAATTGTAACAATAGATGGTTTTCAGTTTCTTCAGATATTCATTATAGTGGTAAAACTATTGATTCTAAAGATGATTTTGAATATTCGATGCCTTTAAGATATCAATAAACGGAACAAAAGAATCAAAACCAGTCGTTTCGACTGGCACGGTAGTTCTAGTGTTAAAGATATTTCATGGAACAACCGTTGAATATCGCGAGACACAAGGGAATTCAAATTGCAGATCAACAAAATGGATCGCAAGTGTTCGAGGAGGCCGATGCTCGGAATACAGAGAAATGGCGAGGCGAGGCTGGCCTGTTGGCGACCCCTCCGAACGGCAACTTTCCACAGCAGAACGTTGGTCCGGTCAAATTCGAGGTGCCGAAGGTGCCTGTTATATTCGTGCTCGGTTCGTATCCGCTTTACTTCATCAATAAATTACACAAGCTAACACGCTGCTCCGCAAAGTGGGAAGATCGGTAAATCTCCATCGAAAAACCTGCCGATCTTCGAACCCCTGTAACTTTCCAACTGAAAATCGTTCGACATTCAGTCTTAGCTCGCTAGAAACCGTGAAGCTTCTACTTTCGTTTCACATAAGCACTGTTTTCTACGATATTTTTACTTTTTGTAATTGATGGTAGAGCAGTTGCACCTCTTCGCCTCGAAAATCGTGGGAATTCCAGCTTGTAACGTCTTCACGAAGTTTAAACAATTTATTTTGACAATGAATCCACCACGGGCTAGTAGTTTAGAGTCTACTCTTTCCAACGACTCCTCGAAACTCGACGTGCGATTTTTGTTCGCCATTTTATCGGCGTTCGACGGAGTAGTTGTTAACTATGGTGTGCTCTTCAGGCGGTCCGGGAAGTGGAAAGGTGACACACTGTGATAACCTGATGCAAGAAAAGAAGGGCATCACGCACATCAACATGATGGACCTTCTTCAACAATACGCTTTAGGAAACGGTGCGTATCGCGCTGCGGAATCGAGTCGGGTATTCGAATGAAACGTAACGCCTTGATCGCAGATATGCAAGATTTCGGGCAGCTTAGCAGTAAGACGGTTGCGGAGGTCCTCATGCTCGAAATCAAGATGTCGCCAGGGGCCAAAGTGTTTCTCGTTAGCGGATATCCGCGTAACATGCGCGACGTGGTCGAGTACGCCGAGAAAGTGAGTCGTTGGTCGTCACAGAAATTTTCCTAACTTTCTTCTGATATATTCATCAGGATTTTATCGCAATTCTGTTCCTCCAATTGTCCAGTCTCTGTGTCTAAACCGATTACTACGCTTCCAGATCAAAATCGTGAACGGCGTGATACTGGTCTCGTGGAGGCAGGAAATCCTCGAGCGGCAGATCGACTTCGGCGCGCAGCTCGGCCAGGTGGTGATCGAGCTCGCCAGAATGGAACTTTACAATTTTTATAGGAACGTCATGCCTGTGGCTGAGTACTTCGATCAAAGTGGAATGTTGCTAGAGGTATAATTGCAATTTTCCGCGAGCCCATTATCTTATGAACGTTGTCTCGCTTCAGGCCAAAGCGTGAATAAGGGAACCGATTTTCTAAGAGCAACTGTCCAAACTGCAATTAGAATTGATAGTCGAGTTGAGCGTTGTTACGCGTGGCTTTTGTTATACTCGATGATATCTCCGAACGTTGAATATTCCATGTTTAACGTGTCGTTCACCAGGTGAACGGGGAAAGAAACCCAAACGACGTCTACGTCGACTTCCGGGAGGCGGTGTTCAAAATTCTCGGCTTATCCACCGACGACACGAAGGAGAGGAACGTTCCTCCGTCGTTGGAGGCAGAGGTACTTGAAAAATCGTTTTCGCTAAGTATGAGAAACTATACGCGGAAATGATTCCAGGTAGAAGTAGAAAGGAGGAAAGAATCCATTTCAAAATCACCACCGCCGCCGAGGAGGGAGGAGCCACCGGTGGTTGTGACCCCGTTGCCACCAGTGATAACCGAGAAACCAGTGAAGACCGCGAGCAAGCCTAGAAAAGGGCTGCCTTCGTTCATATGGATCATAGGTAATCGTCGACACTCTCAAAATTTACTAATTCTTCTTTAAAGTTCTTTAAAATTCTAAAGAAATTTACTAATTCTCAACTTCGAATCGGACAAGGCGGTCCAGGGAGCAACAAGGACAACCTGTGCAGCCAGGCGGTGCGCAACATGCCAGGCTGGGTGCACGTCAGCATAAGTAGCCTGCTGAGGACGATGGCCACGTCGAACACCATCGTGAAGGACGCGATAATCTGCGGCGAACTGGTCCCGCAGGACATAGTGATGCAGGTCCTCGAGCAACAGATCATTCTGAACCGAGACACCGACGGCGTCATCATCGACGGGTATCCGAGGGACCTGACGCAGGTCGAAGAGTTCCAGAACAAGGTGCAATGGAGTATAGGGCAATCGATAAATTCTAATTGTTCTTTCAATGTGGCTTGACTGTGTTCTGTATCATTCTATTCTATATGATTTATATTATACTATAGAATCGTATTTGCAGTTCGGTCAACAACCGCCCTTGGTCCTGCTCGACTGCTCGAAGCTGCAGCTAGGCAGAGGTCGCCTGGACGACAGCGTGTCGGCGTTCAAGAAAAGACTGGACCTCTTCCGGGAGCTGTCGTTGCCGATGCTGAAAACGTTGGACAACGAGAGTCGCTTGACGATCGTAAGCGTCCGACGCTTCATTTCATTGACATTCAGAGAGGGAACTTTTCTGACGAATAAGCGCAGGCTCTGGTTAGTTGCTTTTAACCGAGAAACACAATACACCCGTAGATCGACGGCGACACGGACGTGCCCAGCGTGCAACAGGAGTTCGCGGCAGCGCTCTATCAACTGATGACCCAATCGCGACGCAAGGGAGAGGAGAATCACGCTGCCCGGTCGCCGTTAACGGTAGACAACGGTAACCTAATCGGCAATAACAGGGACCAAATCCTACCGAACGGCGTCCTCAAGGAAGCTAACAACGAGAAGCCGAGCATCGAGAACGCGATGAACGCTATGAACGGTCTCTCCTTCGGAGGTAAGCTTGTCAATAGAAGAAACGTTTACTCTTGGTTGTTGCTTGAAATTATTTCTTGAGGCCATGCTTTTCACTGGTCGATCGTTGCCTAAATTAGACGGTACATTAGCTAAGAGGAAGGTAGCCTTGGTCTGTGGACAGAAGGGGGAAAGGAACCGAGAATAAAATAACATTTCTCTGACTAGGCGCGGTGCAAATCGCCAACGGATTGAGAAACAACCTGAAGCAGATACAGAAGAACGGCGTGACCCGCGTGCAGAACGGGGTTGCCAACGGCGCCGCCCACATTCTTCAAAACGGAGTCGCGCATCTGGCGAACGGCATCGCCGCAGGCAACAACAAAGTCGCGCCAGCTGTTCAGAATTACGTACCGAACGACGCGAACGACGCCATCAGGAAAATGTACAACGAGGTCGAGGGGTATCAGCAGAACCTACACATGTGAACCCTCTTCGCCTCCCTCTCAGGACCATTGAAGGATCATAAATAACGTAGAGACTCGCGCTGGGTGTTTGGCGACTCGTTGCTGAACATTTCAGATTCGAGACTTGGCAGAAGACTCGAAATTTTGGAAAACTTATGGAAGATTACGTCCGAAATGTGTCGCTACTTGTCCCGGACACCTTTTCTAATAAAAACGAGGCACAGGGTAGATCTGACATTCAGCAAAGGTCAACGTTCGCGTGTTTTCCTGTCTGGTTGAACTCGAGTCGGAATGAAATCGAGACAGACGGTGAATTGTATAAATTAAAGGGTGCGAGATCTATCCTCTGCGTCGCTAGTGCTAAAACGAAAGGATTACAATTTATTTTTAATATCGTCCTGTCTTTTTATAATGTTAATCACTTCAACAGCTGCAGGTTTAAGGCGAGAGGATTTCAGATGACAATGTGTAACGCGTGTACGTCCTTATCGTGCCTTGAAACTGAATTACTTAATTATTTACTTACTGACTCGTTACGACTTGAATAGAATTAATGCAACCATTCAACGAAAGCCAAACACGAACGTAGTTTCGCAGATGTAGTATAAATTATCGTACAAAGTTGATCACTTTAATTTCTACAAACTTCGAAGGTCAATGGTTAACGATCAGCGAGCACAAGTCAATGGTCGATGATCAACAGTTGATTTTATGCATTTACGCCAATTAAATGTGATCAAGATGTAACGAGGTAAAGACGAGCACGGTTTCTTCTTTATCCAACAAATTCGCTCGTTGATTGATTTCTATTTTTATAAATTGATCCCGGAAAATCAGTGAGTGTACATATAAATAGAACGAACGTACCGTCTCATTAGAATTGACATTTGCATTAGATTTCATTCGTTTGTACTTGAATACCTCGATAGATTTAATATTAGATTCTTCTTAATATGCTAAGGGAAAACGTTATTATTGTATTATTGTATTTATTCCATTCTTTCGTTTCTGTCCGTCAAGCGGGCAGAGTAACAAATGACGATTAATATTGTTAACGATAAGAATAGAATGGCAAATGAGAAATATGCGCACCAACGACGCCAATTTATTTATTTCATTCCATCCGATGGAAAGTATTTTGATTGTTATCTCTTATGTAATTGCATGCTGTTCAAGACTAGTCGAGGAGTATTTTTTATGCAATAGTATGTTAGCAATCACAGTTTCCCCTTCTTTTCTAGATATTAATTACGTGTACCTTAACTTTTTGGAAGTATTTCATTCGACAAATTGTCCCTGCGTATTCAACTTTGTTTTACGTTTAAACGAACATGTAATGATTTCATGCACCGATATATTAAATATGTTTTAGAAGTTTTCAAACTGACTTTTTCTTTGAGTTATTGAACACTGTTACGTTGAATGTACAAGATAGAATAAAATTCCAATCTCAGGCGAGTTCAATGAGACTTGAACGATTGAAACGGTTAAAAGTTTAAAGTTAAAATTTAACTTGTCACTTGTTAGCACGAATATATTTATAAATAACAATATATACAGGTGATATGTAAATGAATATTCGATCAAGAATGAAATGAATATCGGAAACAAATTATTCATTATATCAATATTATGTACTTAATAAATCTTTATTTCAACAGATTATTAAGTAATTATTCGTATAATCTCAGTAATTTGACTTGTTTATTGACAATTTCACTATACATATATGTAACGAATAATCAAGCCCACCAACGTATTACCTCAATTGCTAATGTAATACATACATAACAATATATCTGAAACTTCTCCTTAATAAATTCCTATTCAGAGAATAGAACCCATTTGAACATTTCCTTCCAGACATTTTTACATAAATCTACTTCTTCCTTATGAATATTCGAAGCTGGCTGATAATCACAATAAAGTAGTAAGCAGTAGATGAGTAATAAATATTCGTCTGATATTTTATGCAATGGAAGCTTAATATCTATATACTGTATTTCAGTACACTGCAAAGAAACTATTTGCTTCTTTCAAATTTATACATAGTTCACTAATCTATTATAAACTATATATACATACTCCCATTGTAGAGTATGACTCTTCTCGATAATACTTGGTCAAAAGTACATGTGAAACTATAAATCATCCGACTTTTGAACACATTTTTCATGACAGGAAAATATAATTATGATATTCCTCTCCTTTCCTACTTATAATGTCAATTACGGTGCCATAAATGTAATTTTACCATATACTCTATTCATTTCTGTCTTCAGTATGTTATTTTAAATGTTTTCTTCTTCTTTGTATTTGTTGCGAGTTTGCAGAAATATGTTTTGCTTTCGGTAAGATATGCAGGTTCTTCATTATTTAAAATGCTTATTTAAAATGAGATCATGAAAACGCTCAATATCTGTTTCCAATCTAATCCTTGATTTATACAGTATACCACAGAATTCGACTTTTTACTTAGCATTACCTATGATTCAGTTACGATAGACATTTATTACATCAAGATAAACAACATATACCATTTCCACGTTTGTCAAAATATAAAATTTTCCAAAAGAATCCTTCGTAATGATGAGAAAATCGAATCAGGTGTGGAAGTCACAAATGCTTAACGTGTGTGTCTGTACATAAGCTGCATGCAATGTACAAATACGACGCGCTGCGCACTTTCCCATTGAATGGGATTAACGCACATTCAATTATTTCCCTATACGTGATGTAAGTATGCTATCGTTTTAGTCTACGTTAACACAATGTGCTTAAAGTCTTAGTTACGAATAATCACAATGAAATATACTAATCACAATAAACGTTGATTTTCTAATACGAACTCTAACAATATAATCTTCTCTATCTGCCTCTAAGAATGGCGTTTAAATTAAACTTCATTTGGCAAATTTCATACAAAAATCAATAATATAGGACTCAAAATTCTAGTTCATCCTGGAGTACTTCTACATAGACTTACGCTCTTAATAAATAAATTACTTGAAAATAGGAATGTAGGGGAAAAATGATCGAGTAGTTTGATAATTCATAATAAGAAATAAATGCTTATTCGATTAAAGATACATGATAACTGTACGATGAAAAAGGAAGAAAAAAAACGGAATTAAAATAGGACTAACAATGAGCAAAAGTTGGTGTTCGACAAAAAACAGTCGTGATTAAAATAGTATGCAGACTAAATACCATGAAG